CAGCCCAGCCCAGCCCAGCCCATTCAGCCCTCCTCCTTTCGTCCTTGTGCAGGTCACTGTGAACTTGATCGAGAAAACAGCCTGTTACTGTTAAATGATTTGGTAAATGTTAAAGTATCAAATTAAATGACCGTAGATTGCCGTAAACCTGAATCTGAATCTATAATTCGGTTACTAATACGGACTGACTAATACATACATACATACGGTTACATAGTTACATACATACGTGACACGTGTGACAGGTGACAGTGTGGTGACAGATAATAGATGATATGAGAAGTTTAATCTGTATGCTTCATAATTCATAACTTCATCTCATAACTCACCATTAGCTGGTCCATAACTTAAACTTAAATACTGACATTCAGCTTCGGCAAGATCATTGTGTCATCATGTGGCCAGTGACAATGTGAGTCTGATTGGACATTTCAACATGTCCTTTGTGCTTGGACTACGCAGCCAGCCAGTACTCGCACACACAAACCGAGTGTGGGCACACAGCCTCCTCACTGCAGCCTGTGTGATTGTGAGTAGTGATTCTGATTTTGCATTATTTTTTCAAGAGTGTGAGGCTTGTGCGGGGACGCAGTGATGAGTGATGAGTGATATGACATGGTGACAGTCCCTGGTGACATGACTGTAGAGACCTGTTTGGCCCGGCTCAAGCTACTTGAGCCAGTGACGAAGTGAGTTGCTTTGCTTTTTTGCTCGCTGGCAATCGGCAGTTGCTCAGTGTCTGGGCAGGATGACGCATGAAATGGGTGGGGAAGGTTCTGAGAAGGCCCTGGCCCTGGTAGGCGATGCCAACCAAGCCCAAGGCCCTATCTGTAAGAGCTGCAATCAAACACCCGGCTGTTTGGACCTGTACTCCGACGGCAGCATCACGCTATGTTGGGCGAAGCGAGGTGTTTGCAAGGCAAGGCTCGTCTTTGAATCTTTCAGGGCCTGTGGAAGCAGCTGGTCAATTAAACTAGCTCCCTCTTCAGTCTTCAGACCCTTAAAAAGGTAGTTGCGTAGTCGGTAGTTCCGGTAGGCTGTGGTCGGGGGAAGCTTGGTGCTAATCTCCGCAGTGTAGCAACAATCTTGTCAGATGTCAGGTCGGTCAGGTCTGTCTGACCGTCTGTGGCAGTCAGTCAGTCGAGTCGAGTCAGTCTAGTCTAGTCAGTCTAATTTAGTCGTCTAACTGTCTAACTGTCTCAAGTGATTCATGATGAAGGTGACAGTGAGTCGCTAGTAACTAGTTTAACTAGTACTAGTACTAGTACTAGTAACTAGTACTGTACTAGTACTACTACTAGACTAGTAAGTAAGCAAGTAAATGAAGTAAGTGTCAGTGTCTAGTGAGCCAGTCAGTCTGTCCAGTTTCGACAGTCGTCCGACCCCAAGTCTAGATCATGTGAAGGCTGTGAAGGTCGTATCATTTCATCATTCGGAATCATCCCTTTGCCAATTCCAAGTTCAAGCTGTTGAGCCGTTCTCTGAAGTTCTCTGTCACTGCTGCTATCATTACCACTGATCAGTCTGTCACATCACTGTCTCAGATCACAGATCTCATCTCAAATCACAGACCACCGCTCGACAGTTTAAATCCCGCAACAAACAAGCCCCAAAACACAACGTGCCAGGAAAGTGGGAGGCGAGACGTTCCTGAGGGACACGAGTGCGGGCCATGCAAGGCCAGGCGTGGATAGTTACGGTTTAGGGTTTAAGTAGGTGACTCGGAAGCAGACAGTGCTCAGAAATTCTGTAGTAATGCCACAATTGTTGTTGATAGCTGGCAGGGTCAGTGACAATCAGTTAGGGTTAGGGAGTCAGGGACCACTTTTAATTTAAATATTTGAAATTTGAAATTATTGAAGTTATTTGCGAAATAGATAATTGATGCTTCAGAGCTTGAGTCAGTTTGAGGATCTAGTTTAAAACCGCCGCAACCGGCCCACTACCCAAAGAAAACCCTAAACTCCGAGCCTTCAAGTCACATTAAATTTGATAGTGAGCGGAGTGAGCGGTAGTAATTCTGAATCCAGAGCCAGGGGTTTCAGAAAACTACGGGCTGCTGGCTTGGGGGCCCCTCAGGTTCTAGTTGGCAAGTTGTTGGCTACCATTGTAGGCTTCCACCATCAAGCTAAGTATGATTCATTATTTATCATTGAATCATTATTCATTATGAATTATGATTCATGATTCATGATTCAATGTCAATGATTCAATGATTCATGATTCATGATTATGAATTATGAATCATGAATTATTCTGAATTATGATGATTCATTATGGTCCAATTATGGTCCATAATTATGGTTATGAATTATGATCATGATTCTGGTGTCATTGTCATTGTCATTGCAGCGATGACATGCGCTTGCTCCGTGCCATGAGTGTATCAATATCATATCATCATATCAGTGTGTGTGTGTGTGTGCGTGTGTCCGACCAGGGTATGTAGTCAAGTTATCGTCTAGTCTAGACCGATTATAGACCGTACAGACTAGACTGTAGACTGTAGTTATAGAGTTATAGTTATAGTCATAGTCATAGACTGAGTCATAGTCATAGTTATTTATAGAAGACTTACATGCTGCCTGACCCTAATATTGACGATTTCTCATGGTAAGGTGGTTGAGTTGCAGTCTAAGATCTGATCTGTCAAGCCAAGCGGAGTCAAGCTGGAACCGCATCCCTGCCAGCTCGTTCGCGTGAAGAACTTCGACCTGCCCCTTGCGCAGCTGATCGCTTTGCGGAAAAACAGCCAGGCGAGATGTGTAGGAATCAGAGCCAGGGTAGCTCCCTACTAAGTGGCTTTCTTTATCTACACCAGGCAGCCGATGCGAAGTTCAAGGAGAAGCGCGCAGCGGCTTCTTTGCCAGGGCGGCATGTGCATGAGAAGCTGGACCTTACTGTCTTCAAGCAGAA